CCGGGGCTCCTTTCCCAGGGATGATCTACATAAACAGGCCTTTCTAAAAGAAACAAGCCTTAGAAGAGCCACCTGCCCCCAGGGATGCTGAACCATTCAAAACCTTTCACGTAATTTGTACATGAAAAAAAATAACCAAGTCCTGGGCCACGCACACAAGACCGTGAGGAAGGCTTGTTGCCTATCAGCATGCAACTCGATTCAGGTGCTTCAACCCAGTGCAGCTGCCTTCAGACTATAGCTGCAGCTTGAGGCAGCAGAAGCCTCAGCTGATCTGCCTTCTGGAAAGGATGTCCACTTACAAACTCCACACGCTGTCCAAGGCCTTCCTAACTCTGAACTGACCCACTAACCTCGAAGTCCTTCTGCCTTCACCACCAGTCTTCATCTTAAAGGCTGTAACATTCTTAGTCCTGTCGCATTAGGGCCACTTGCCTAATGAAGGTGAGCCTCACAACTGTGAGGTACTAAGTCCCATTTCAGGACACTATGTCCTGATCTTAGGGACACCCCTTTGACTAATTCTGATCTAATTTTGTTTGTTGATCGGTCCATACTGTAAGAATGAAAAAAGGAATTTCCAGGCTGATTATGCTGTTACCACCCATAATGAACTACCTGGAAAGGGAGATCTTCCACAAGCTAAATCAGCCCAACAAGCAGAGCGCCACACCCTCACCAGAGCAGGCCAGTTTTCAAAAGGGCACCTTGTTAATATTTACACTGCTGACAGTTACACAATTGGGGTCATCCAGGGGTTTGGAATATTATGGATACAAAGAGGTTTTCTCATGTCCACTGGGACCCCAATCAAAAATAGTCACATAACGTGACCTTACTGCTCTCCTCTCTTCTGAAGTTGCCATTCTCAAGTAGAGACACAACTAAAAGGACTAAACTTGAACATGAGGACATGCCCCAGCTGACTTTCATCCAGAGGCAGCAGCAAGAGAATCTGTAAAGGATGTGGCACATGTGAATAAAAGCTCATTCTGCTTCTAGAAAACAACGTTCCTTTGTTGCCAGAGTTTTGCCATCCTAATTTCCTCGCAACATGGAAACAGTCTGCTCCTGAATCAGAAAAATTAGGATGGGCAAATAATGGCTATAAATTCAATGACAGTCAAGGATATGGGAAGCCCATGATGACTGCTTGGTTCTTCCCAACTCCCTGGCAAATCCCGTTTTTTTTATTTTCACATTCCTTCACCCACCATGGTATGCTTAAGATAACTCAAATTATAAACCATTGGTGGAGAGACTTCTATAAGACTTCAACACACACCAAAAAAACAAAGAAAACAGTTTACCATCAGTGTCTAACCTGTCTGGTCCACAGTTCTGGAAAGCCTATTTTGTTCCCAGAGGCCTCCAACCAGCCCCCTGTGGACCCTTTGAACACGTGCAGCTGGACTTCATTCAACTGCCCACCTTCTGGGGTTATCAATATGTTCTTATCATTGTTTGTATATCTTCCAGGCAGCCTGAAGTTTCCCCCCGCTGCAAAGCTTAGTCCCTTCAAGTGGCAATGAAACCGTTAGAAAACATGTTTCCCACTTGGGTATACTTGCCATAATTTCCAGTGATCAAGGCACCCGCTTCATAGGGAGAAGCATACAAGCTTTAATAAAGGCCTTACAAACATCTAGGACATATCACTGCCCCTATCACCTCAATCATTGGGCAATTGAGGGTGAGAGAACTAATGGAATTTTCCAACTTAAAATCTCTGAGCTTACTGAAACCGCTGGACTCTCTTGGTCCAAGGTTCTGCCACAAGCTCTGCTGACGGTAATGATGTCCCCCTTGGGAAACATAAACTCACTCCACATGAAACAGTCACCCGGAAGGCCAAAGTCTATGGGCATGCAACTTTCTGCTAGTTGTACCCTGCCAGTGTGACCAGCAGCTAATGTGAGTCTTTAACGTCTAATGCTAACGCCTACCATCAACAGGTTAAAGAAGCTTTCTCTGACCCCAGTTCAAAGGATCCTGTTGGTCAGTCTGGTGTCTGGTGACTGGGTATTTTGGAAACACCATTGGAAAGGGGAAAAAAAAAGAACAGCTCTAGAGCCACACTAGAAAGGACCTTACCAAGTGGACCTCCTGACCACTGACACTGCTGTAAAACTACAGGGCATTGAGCCTTGCATACACATCTCACTACTAAAGACAAGACAGCCTCGCCTGACCTCTGCTCCTGCAGTGGTGCTGCAGACATCTAAACCACATTGACGAGGAAGACAAGTAGCTGACATCGAAGTGAACTGCTTCTTCCCAAGACACCAGATCGAGACGTCATACTTTAACATGACATTTTTTCTCCTCTTTCTTTCCTTTGGCATCAGCCTGGAAAGACAATGCCCTCATCTGTATCTCCCAGGCCATTGCTAAGGGGGTGTGGGGGTAACCTTTCAGACTGCTGGGTCTGTCATTAAAGATTCCAGTCTGTCCATGATGTTAGTGCCCCTGGTCCTCCCTGTGACTTAGTTCTCTTCTTTTCCTCACGTCACTGCAAACTACAAATGACCTCACACCTCCTGAAGTCTCCCATTGATTGTAGTTTTTATAGCCAGAACAACCTGTGCTTTGTGTTTTCCTCTCTTCAATGTTAAGTGTACGTACCCAATTAGAAACAATTGCCTCTATAAATCTTGGTACATTTGCACATCCACATTCTCGTGATCATCAGCTCACATCTGCCCCCATTCTCTAAGACATCTCACCAGCAACATCCATCTTCGTAGGGTATTTAGAAGAACTCATTCTTTCAGTTTAGGAAATGTTCTTCCCATATGTGTGGAAAATCTAACTGACCCCGAGCTGGGGTGAGAGGTGAGAGGGTGAATGCAATAATCCCTGTGAATGAATTCATTAATAGCACCATCCTAATGGGAATGGTTTGTGTGTCTTTGTTTGTGGCAGTTCTCATTCTCCTTGAGCCTGTGAATGAGTAGGCGCCACATGGCTGGGCGAGGCCTCTTGTGTTATCTAACTGTACCCCTAACTTTTCACAAACAAACTAAGACATCTCATTGGTTGACTCCCCTGAATGTATACCTTTGTGTTAAAAAAAGACCTACCAGAAGGCATTCAGGATTCAGGATTTGCTTCCTTAGGCAGGGCCATGCCTTCCTGGTTAGGAGTTAATGAAAAGAAAGATGTGATCAGAAACCTCTCCCTAACTCTTGAAGACAATGCAGAATCTGTTGCTGAGATTCTAGTTGCTAGGGACGGTTGTCCTACAAAGATCTTTAGCCTCTCTGGCAAAAGTTGTCCTTGATATTAGAACAGCTCTGGATTATTTTTTACCTGCACAAGGAGGTGTCTGTGCTGAGGCCAACACCACCTGCTGTACCTGGATTAGTGTGTCTGGGGAAGAACTCAATTACCTAAGACCAAAGGAAAAAAGGTGACTCCTTCCGTGAGGTCTTTGACTTTGTGGATTTTGATTGGTTTGGGTCTTGAAACCATGGCTTCAAAGTGCACTCCAAACATTGGGAATTATCCTCCTTAGAGTAATCATAATAGCTCTCTGACACTTTGTATTGTCTCAGAAGCTTTAAATGTATATTTGCATCCACTAATCACCAAGCAAATGATTGGGCTGTTTAAGGAATGAAGAAAGTGACCAACTTAATGAGTGTAAACTGACGTTATGACCTGTGAATATCAAGAGGTTAAGCAGGAATGTCGTAACCTATAGGTATCGCCTAAAAGAACAAAAACTGTGAACTTTAGAGTGATAGCTGAGAGTGACACTAATGCCTTAAATTTTGATCACATCTCTCAGTTACTTGAAGACTGGAGAGAATTGTTAAAAACAAAACCACAGGCCCAAAATGATGTCACTCAAACCAAGTTCCCAAACTGGGGCTTAATACCTAATCTAATTGCACTATCAACTTCCGTCAGAAATGGAGTCTTAACCAGTCAGCCAGGAATTTTTCAATTAGTTGCCAATGAGTCTACCACAAGGGCCACCCTATCCTCCCCCAAAAAGATGAGGTAATTTGCATAATTGAGGTAATTTGCTTTTCCCCCTAAAGAAAGCCACCTGGCCTGGAACAATCCTTTCCATTTGCTAATAATTTTCTTTTCCCACCCTCCTTCCACAAAAGCCTTCCATTTGGCACAACTTCTTGGGGCTTACTAGATGGATGGTGTCCTGTTCATGAATCATTTAATAAAACCAGTTAGATCTTCAAATTTTCTCAGTTGGACTTTGTCTTTGTTACCATATCATCTAATACCCAATCTATATTCATATTTTTCTGTCTTTAAAAATACCTTTTTTGCATTTCAGTAGATTGTAGTCAAGTTCCTAAATAAGGTCTACATATAGTATTTGCTGGATGAAGTTCTTAAGCCTCTTTTCATAGAGCAGTCCTTCTGAAATACCCCTCCCCCAAGTTTTTCTCCATGCCACTGACTTGTTGAAAAAATTGGGTCACTTATCTACCTTGTGGTTATGATCCACATTTTCTATCTGTTTGCCTTTCATGCTTTCAGATAACCTGTTCCTCAGTCTGCCATATTTTCTATAAACTGGAAGTCACAGGACCAGCACTTACATTCACTATAATTTCCTATCTTGAGTGGACAGGATGTGCCCTTGAAAGTACCAGAGCTAGACAGGGGTGAGTGAGCATTTTGATTATGCCACTTAAAAGCTGTGACCTTGGGCAAGTTACTACACCTAAGCCTCCACTTTCTCACTTGTAAAACAGGAATATAACAATTCATAACTTGAAGAGTTTTGCAAAGATAAAAGGAGACCATGAGTACACAGCAGCTGGCACTAGGTCTGATACATAAACAGCAAGCAGTAGCTCAGTGAATGTCAGTTGTAGCAATGAAAAGGGATACCTTCAGCTTATGCATCACAGAAATACTCATTCCACTAAAATGCTTCTAAAGTACCCAGAAAATTGTATTCTTTTCTGACAGAGCAGGATAAGTATAATATTTATCTGTACAAGTGATTAAGCAATACCTACAGCAGAAGTAGGGAGTCTGAGGATTTTTGAAGAATAAATTGTCTTCAGGAATTTTGCTCTACTTCCAAGGGAGCAAAGTCTCCTCTGGGCCAAAAACATGCTACAGGATAAAAGAAAAATGTTAATAGAAAGAAACTATATGACACTTATATCACTATCGGACACTTAGAGCTAGCTAATAGACCATAAGCTTATACAAAATATAAGTAAAAATGTTTTATAGTTTTCTTTCTATATATAACCTCTCATCACTAGAATCCTCTATCTTATAAAAATATGTGGATACGTCATTTTAAACTAAAGACGTGTAAGGATATTGTGAATTCAGAAAATAAGGCTCTAATTTAGTCAAGAGCATGAAATTACAGTAAGTAAAAGTTTCTTTTGTAGCAGCTATAAAACCCAGAATATTTCAACCTAAGAACTACTCAAGTTTCAGAATTGTCTGGATTCTGTCACTGTAAAAAAGCACAATTTAATTGTGACAGTAAATTAAAGTGGTTAGAATTTAGCAAGTTGTTTGAAAAGCATTATAGCAGGTCTAGCCCTGGATCAACTCGTCTACAGTGTTCGGTTTTACCAAGCTGGGCAAAGTCATAGAGGATGTGTGGTTCACCATAAATTCATGGTCATTAATCTCAAATTGACCCTCAACACTCTACAGCATTTATACTCTATTTTATAGAGGAAGGATGGCAGAATATGCCACCCCACATACACTGCTTTGGAATAAGAATTATTTTGAGCTAAATGCACTTGAAAAATAGCAAATGCCAAAAAGGGCAATCTGATCCCTCCTTTTCTTCCTGAAAACGGGAGATAAAATTCCTATGTGAAAGGTGTTTTTCCTATACAGGAGAAAATGAACATTCTTAGGTGTGAAAATAATCTTTATCTTCCTGAAGTTTCCATATATGTTTTAGTTACTTTTCCACAAATACCTCTCCATGTTCAATCTAGCATAAAAGCATTTGTTTTTGCCACTTTGCGTGCCTCTCCGGCTAGGTGACTTACGTCAGTGTAATTCTCAGGTTCAGCTGGACACCCTAAGAGGACAGGCCATACCTCTCTCCTATACTCCAGAATGATTATTTTAATTTTCCCCACACTCCTCTAACATAAAAGCTCTTTATTCTAAGTAGATGGCCTTGCTTCCTATCAAAGAGAAAATAAAAGCCATCAGATTTACCATCTCAGTTTACCCAAATAGAAAATACCAAGCACAACGAATCCTTGTTTTTCCTTTTTCTATAATACAGGAAGTCACCCTCCCACAAAAGGATACTTCTTCCTCCCATGACTTAGATCTCATTCACTTCTAGCTCCTCAGAGACCTTTTTCCAGAGATTATTACCCTCTCTCTGGTAATGCATCTTTCCTTGCTCACATCTCTTAAAGTTAAAAAAAGAGCAAATACAAAACATTAACAAACAAAAAATAAAACTCTTGTCTCTACCTTCTCCTCCCTGTTGCTCATTTCTTCAAATCAAAACTTTCCTGTTACTTTCTCTTGAGAGCAAAACTTTTAAAAAGATAGGTTATTAGTTGTCTCCTTTTCCTAAATCTATATACTCTTCAACCTGATGCAATCTGACTTTTTAAAAAAATTTAATTATCATTTAATTTACATCCGAGTTAGTTAGAATATGGTGCAACAATGATTTCAGAAGTGGATTCCTTAATGCCCCTTGTCCATTTAGCCCATCCCCCCTCCCACAACCCCTCCAGCAACCGTTTGTTCTCTATATTTAAGAGTCTCTTATGTTTTATTTGCCCCTCCCCCCATTTTTATATTATTTTTGTTTCCCTTCCCTATGTTCATCTGTTTTGTATCTCAAAGTCCTCATATGAGTGATATTTGTCTTTCTCTGACTTATTTCGCTTAGCATAATACCCTCCAGTTCCATCCCTGTAGTTGCAAATGGCAAGATCTCATTCCTTTTTAATGCAGTCTGACTTTTGTACCCATTACTCCACAGAAGTCGATCTTGCTCAAGTCAGTTCTGACCTTCATATTGTTAAATCCAGTGGACACCTGGCAACTCCACTTTCCTTGAGCTCTCTGCAGCTTCAGTTACTGCTGGCCAAGTCCTGTCTCTTCCCAGAAACACCAAGTTCTCTTGGCTTTTGACATAGTAAGATCCCACATTTCCCTCCTACCTCTCCTCCAACTTGCCATTAAATGATGGAATTTCTCAATACCCATCGGGGCTCTCTCTTCCTCTCACTCATTATTCTCTCACTAGGTAATCTGTTTGCGGGAGAAACTGTGGGATATCAGTGGAAAAAAAGGCTTCAAAGAAATCTAAGCAGGCTGGCAGATACAGATTCAGAACCTTTGAAGCTATTTTTCTTCTGCACTTCACATAAACACATTTTGGCCAGCGCTTTCTAATGCAATTAACATCCCATAAGTATATTTACAAATAATAAAAATAAATGAACAAATTTGGATGTCATTGAAAAGTTGGGAAAAATCAAAGGTATATTGCTTTTAATTCTAAACAACACTTTCACTATATTTTTCTAGTTTCTCCTTAAAGTCAAGGTTCTGTGAAGAAAACCAGGTAACTGTGAATCAAGGCGATCTGGTAAACCTGATTCTAGCATATTATACATAAGGTCAGCTCCATATTGAAATAATTATGATCAATAGAAAGTGAAACTATTTATTATCATTGGAGTAGACTATTTAAAATGAAGACACAGAAGGTGCGAGTACCAGAAGCTGAGAAGGCTGGTGAATGTTGGTGAGGGCGGGGAGCAGAACCCAGAGCTACAGTGCAAGCAAAGCAGTAAAAATGAAGTTTGAAGTTCAAGTTTGAAACTGTGGCCTTAAACCCAAATGATCAGTTTACATACAACTGCTTTGCACGTGGGAGGAAAGGCAGGAAGGGATTTCGCTAATCTGACCAAGTTCAGAGCCTTGAGGTTAACTGCAAGCTCGAGGAAGGTGAAGGCGAGGGGACAGCCAAAAAGCCTGACGCTCATTAGTGCCCAGCCCACGTTAAGAGTCTGAACACAGGTTATTTCTACCTTATGCTCTCCCTGTCGGTCCACTTCTTCCAAACTTCTGTTTGCAAGGTTCACTGGTGCAGCAGAGGGCATCCAGAAGGTGAACAGGTACTGGATGGGGAAGTAGAGTGGGAATAACAGGCCTCGAAGCCCTGTCACTGGAGCAAAGTGGGGAAACTGAACCCTCTTTAGCCCGCACCATACTTACGGACACAGGATCCTGAAACTGCCGAAAGGCCGTTCTGTGGAAGTGGATTCGTGGAATATAAATCTGTGCGCAAGAAGAAGGGCTGCCGGGTTGCCCGGGGAAGTGAGGCTTTAGCACAGCGCGGAGCGGCTCTCAGCCCCGCCCCCGCGGGCGCCTGCTGTGGCAGCAAGCGAGCTGCCCAATCCTGAACTCAGGCCGCGGGGCGGGGGGGACAGGCGCCCCCGCTCCCGGGAGGCAGGCCAAGGGCTGGGGTGCGGGGAGCGAGGGTCGCACTCGTAGGGTGGGGCAGACCGGGCTGCTTTTGTACACACTTCAGATGCCACACTTCACTTAACACGGCAAGCGAACAGCCTTCGTTTCCCTTCTGGTTAAGAATCCCGGTTACGATGAACCGGAGTCGGTGTTTTCAAAATGCCAACGCTGTGACATCAAGAGCCAAAAGGGCACAAAGGCTTTTCTTTGGATGACCGGGGTGCAGGGGCCCCCCTGGCAGGTCAGCCTCCTCCCGGGAAGAAACTTAATGCCAGCGCGGACGCCCCGCACCGCCCCCGCCGGCGGCCGGGCCCGGGGGCCCGGGTCAGGGACCGGGTAATGGGTCACGCCGCCGGCCCCCGAGCGCGAGCCCGGGTCCTGAAGGAGATCCAGTCGGGCCTCTCGGTCTCGCCTGGCGGCCGGCTCCGGCGGCCTCCCTCCCTGCAGGCCTCGCTCCACACGACTCGGCGCGCGGGGAGCCGGAGCGCGCCCCTGGCGGCCCACTCACCTCCCGCGCGCGCACTAATCTCCCTCTCCCTGCTCGGGCCCCTTGCTGCGGGGAGGGGTGGGGCGGGATTCAGACGTAGGGGCGGAGCCTGGGCGCGGGCGCCCGCTGGGTCGCGATGCAGGACGCGGATTGGCTGAGGCCTCGGCCGCGAGGGCGGACTGGAGGGCACCGGATGCGGGGTGGGGCCCGTGGCGCTGAAAGGGGCTGCTGGTGCCGGCAGATCGCGAACTGCGCGGCGCAGGTGGAGGTGCGGGGCCGTGTTAGGTTAGGTCGGAGGGACCGAGGCGGCTCCGGGGAGGGGACTTGGATATGGCCGCGGATTGGGTATGAAATTTAGACCCTGGGCCCTAATTGGATGTGTCACTGATTTGGGTTGGGGCGGGTTAGAGGACAAGGACCGATTTGGAAGGAAACCCTGGGGCACTGGGCTTAGGCCAGAGAAGAGTTGTAGTGAGAATAATGCTAGAAGGTGCCTGAGAGAGGGCGACACTAAGCAGAATGCGAAAAGGGGGTTGTAGATTAATTCGTCATCTGGGACAGTGATGAGAAAAAAAGCAATTTACATTTCTACACAGTAAAACGAGTTTGATGAAAGAACTGAGAAGGAAACGGGGTGTGCCACTAGGGAGGAAAATACAGGAGATATAAAAATGAAGAAAAAAATCCCAGAGAGAAAAGGACACCAATGTCTTTTCAGGGAGGCGGTGCTATCGAAAGCACAGTTTTTGTTAAAAATCGAAATTCGCAATTGGATTTTCTTCCTCTCCTATTTTAAGAAGTTGAGAGGGTAGATGGAGTGAGCATGACAGCAGCATTGTTACTCAGGCCTGGAGGAAAGAACAAGGATAGTCTTTGGTTGAAGAAGTATACTCTTCAACTAAGTACAAGGAGGGTCAGAAGATGAGTAGTTGAGGGGCGCCTGGGTGGCTCAGTGGGTTAAGTCCGACTTGGGCTCAGGTCATTATCTTCACCCTTCCCTGAGTTCAACCCCCTCCCCCACTTTCCTGCTCTGTGTGGACAGCTCAGATTCTTTGAGCTGAAGCCTGCTTCAGATTCTCTGTCTCCCTCTCTCTGCCCGTTCCCTGCTGTGCTCTCTCTTTCTCAAAAATAAATAAACATTAAAAAATTAAAATTAAAAAGATGATTAGGTGAATGGAGAAATTGCTGGGTTCTTCAGAGGACATCCCTCTAGATCGTGAACTATTGTGAGGGCCATTCATCTGTCAATAGTTTCCAGCAAATAATGGAGAATTGGTGGTCCAAAAGACCACGGAAAATACACCTTTAGTCAGAAAGTTGGGTATATTATTCGTTGCAATGAGGGAGAACCCACATGCCTTGGGGAAGCATGGATCATTCAGTAACAGGATGTTAGAAGTGACTTCTTTTAAAAACCTGGGCTTGTATTAGGTGATTCTGGAGTAAGGTTCAAAGACAAGACGTTTCATTCTGTTTTGGGTGTTGTCAGGAAGTAGGGGTAATTCTAAGAAGAGATATTGTATTCTTATGTTGAAGGACGGGAGGAAAATTGCAAGGCTAAATCCGTAATTGGAAAAGAGGCAACAATTTTACTGGATGGGAGAGGAGGAAATTTAGTATTTTTGTAGTTTTCATAATGACCTTGGTTTTTTTTTAAATGTGTTAAGCAGTAGGCTAGACATTATGTTTAGTTCATTTAAACATTACAATAATCTTAAACATAGCCAGTAATATTCCTGGTTTACAGATGGGCAGACTGAAGTTCATGGAAGCAAAGAACTGGATTCAGGATGTAGTAACACCAAAGGACTAGCTTAGGGGCTCCTAACCAGTTTTTGTGCTTTTGCCCCTCTGGCAAACTGGTGAAACCTAGGCAGTGACCTTACTTTTAATCTGTGTTTGGGGAAGATTATTAAGTGATCTTGTCTGTTGTCTTACTTCATCATGACCACAGAGTGACTTTGTCTCAAGTTGGTGTTCTGTCAGATTGTCATGTTTTGTAGGGGAAGGAACATTGCAGTAGGTTCTTAACGACACTGAATATTGCAAGAGTGTCAGTTCAATTCCCAGTGTTCAGTGCTGCTTTTCTTTTTCTCACAGTTAACAACTATGAGTGGAGTACATAGGTGCTGAGGCTGCTCGAGAAACTGAGGCAGAGGAAATGTGTGTCAAGAACCTCAGAGACAGAAGCAGACACTGGAGGAGTTAATGCATACAAATATTCAGGGGATAAATGCTACAAAAGAAGAAATGATGGGTGGAGACAGCAGATGGTTTAAATAGGATGGTCAGGAAAGGATTTTTCCGTGGGGAGGTAGGGGGGAGACAGAGAGAGAGTCTCAAGCAACTGTGGGATCATAACCAGAATCAAAAATCAAGAGTTGGACGCTCAACCCACTGGACCACCCAGGTGCCCCAGGAAGGGTTGTGTTTGTTTGTTTTATGTTTGTTTTTTATTTCTTTTGTTTTGTTTTTTGAGGTAACATTAGATCCCTGAATTGAAAGATGAAGAAGCAACCTTGCAAAGAATGATTCTGGAAAAGAAAAAGGCCCTGATATGGGAACAAACTTGGCATGTTCAAGGAATAAAAGATACCAGTGTGGTTAGACCATAGCGATCCAGAGGGAAAGTGCTTTCAGATTAGGATGGAGAAGAAGGCTGGGGCCATATCACACAAAACCTTGTAGACCACAGAAACGAGTTTAGATTTTATTCTGAACCAGCCTTTGGAAAACCTTTAGCTGAGGAATACTGTAACCTTTTTTCTTTTAAATTTTTAATGTTTATTTATTTCTGAGAGAGAGAGAGAGAGAAACAGAGTGCAAGCTGGGGAAGGGCAGAGAGAGGAAGACACAGAATCCAAAGCAGGCTCCAGGCTCTGAGCTGTCAGCACAGAGCCCGATGCGGGGCTCGAACCCACGAACTGTGAGATCATGACTGAGCCAAAGTCGGAGACTTAACTGACTGACTGAGCCACTCAGGCGCCCCAAGGAATCATGTAACCTTAATTACATTTTTAAAATATACTCTAGCTGCTTTGAAGAAGAAACTTGTGGGCAGGCAAGGTTTGAAGCAGGAAGATCTTTTAGTTAGGAGGTTGCTAAAGTGAGGAGTGACATTGGTCGGGCTAGGGTAGTGCACAGGAGAGAAAGAGGGCTAAGGAAATCAACATTCGTTCTACTGATAGTTTTTGTTTGTTTCAGCACTGCCCCTGCTCCTTCAGCTGTGCCTGGTTTCTCATAATTCAGACACTCTTTGCTTACCCTCTTCAGAGTATAAACTGCTAATTTCTTGCTAAAATGAAGAGGGACTAATTGGCAGGGCTGTGTGGACCGGGAGTGAGGATCTGGGGATCTAGTTGTTTCTCAGAAAGACCTTTAAGTGAACGATCCTCTTATATTTAGTCCTGAATCTTTGGGGAGTCTCGTGGGAGTAAATCTACTTGCTTTTTCAGCTTTCTCCATGACTGGTCTAGGACTCAGCTTATCTGAATCTGCTGTCAGTTACTACCTGTCCATTTGCTTTCTAATTTTTGTTGCCACTCTTTCCCCTTGTTTTTGTTCTCATGGGTTTATGGCTTAAAAGAATCTCCTCCTGTTATTTTAGTGGGGCTTAAGTAGAGACAAAATGTATCTTTGATTAACATCTCTAGATGTTGCTATTGTTTTACATACGTATTCATTAAATGACTGATCAGATACTGAGCATTCAAATGCTTTGTTCCTATGTTAAGCCTCATGTTATTCTTTATGATGTTGGTGTTTAAAAGAGAACTCTAAGTGACTACCTGGAATTAATAGCTCATTTTCCTTATAGCTTATGCTCATTTGTTCTGTGAATATGAAGACAGTATCTTTCATATGCAGATAAAGCCCTTCTATTGCGTCATATACAGTGATGAGGTTTTGGATTGGGGGACCGAGTCTGGAGCTGACGCCTAAGAATTCTTGAGACGTCGTTGGTGCAAAAAGGTGTCTTTATTAAAGCATGGAGACCCATAGGCAGGAAGAGCTACCCTGGGATTGTGAAGAGTGACTGGTTACATTCTATTGAGTTGGGGGAGGTTAGGCAAAAGGGAGGCCTCCAGAGGGACTTGTATATACTAAAGAGGATTTCTAAGATACCCGAGGCCTTGCTGTTGTCAAGCTCTGGTTGTTTTCCCTCTAGTAAGGCATTAACATTAAGACAGTAGGGAGTTCCTGGAGAAATGTTAAACTCTGTATTTGCCTCAAGTATTTGTCAATAGACAAATACAAAGAAATTATACAGAAATTATATATATATTTCTATATATCTTTCTCTCTCTCTATATATATAGAGAGAGAGAAACTATTAAAAAATTTAATTTTACCTGCCATTTCCTTCTTGCTTTTGTTCCCCACATCACTATGGAAGGGAGAGTGAGGTTGGGCCTCCAGGAAACTGAGCTTATAGCTTTCTGGAGATTAGGCTATTGATAAGATCAGGGCACCTGAGCTACTCAGTCGGTTAAATGTCCAACTCTTCACGTCAGCTCAGGTCCTGATCTCGCAGTTCGTGGGTTTGAGCCCTGTATCAGGCTCCACACTCTTAGTGTGGATTCTTGGGATTGGGATTCTCCCTCTCCCCCTGTCTCCCTGCCCTCTGCCACTGACTCTGTCTCTCTGTCTCTGTCTCCCTCTCTCAAAATAAATAAATAAACTTAAAGAAAAAGACTACCTTTTCTGTAGTTTACTGAGACATATGTAAACTGATGGAGACTTATATCCTGCATGACTCTGATTTCTATCAGTTAATTGTCTGTTCTTTCCTTTGTTCCTGGACAGCCAGGAATGCCTGAGGAATGTCACACATATCCCACCTGGGGG